CTCAGAGGTAGCCAGCAGCAGACCTTAACAACGGCCAGAGTGTAGAAGAAATTCCAGTGTGCGCCGTACTCTGTTTGGTGAACGGGGTAGTTCAACAGGGAAACCATCGCTTGTCGGCTGGCACCCATAACTAACAGTGGGACGATGCTTCGGCTTTCGAACCGCAAACTAAATTTAATAAAATTTATTAAATTTCTTCTCATTTTAATCTTCCACGCAGTGCTAATCAGCAATAAAAAACAGGGTTGCAATAGTGCGCAAACTAAACAAAGATTAGTAAGTCACTTCATCTTCATCTTTAATGGCAGGGTCGAAGAGGTAGATGCGTCAGATAGAGGTTCCAACGTTCCCGATTCTGTGCCAGAGTATGAGCTTTAGCAGAAGAAAACCGGAATCTCGAACAGACACCTGCCATATACTTGCACCAGGTGAATATTGGCCGTCCCCTGGGTCTTCTGCCGGTTGGTTTTGGAAGAAACACTTCCTCAGCCTACCTTTCTGGAGTCATTTGCAACACACGCCCAAGCCATTGCAGCTGTGACTTCTGAATCTGGAGAAGCAAAGGTTGTATACCAAGCTTTTTCCGGATATCAGTATTCCCGACCGAATCGACAAGCGTAAAAACAGCGACTCGTCTAAGAAAGCCCATTTCAATAGCTCGTACCTGGGTTCGAACTTTTTCAGTGATGGTTCACGATTCATGACCGTAGGTAAGCATGGGGATAAAGATCGACCAGAATACCGAGGGCCTAGTCTTCAGACTAAACTGTCCTTTAGTCACAATGGCACGGGCCAGTTCACGCAGAACGCCACTGGCTACTCCAATTCGCCGGGTCAATCTCTTCCTCCAATTTACTATAACTAGTAAGTACAATTAAGAGGTACTTGAACTTCTTCATCTGCTCTACTGCCTCTCATTTAATCTGAAGAGAGCAACGGGAAGGAGAACGAGAAAGCGCTAAGCCTTTCACTTTAGATGCGTTCACACGCATGCCGGTCATGTCGCACTCGGCC